CTTAGGAAACAAACATTATTCAAGGTTGAGGTTTGTGTAGTGTTACATTTGTTAATTCTGATATATCGTGTTATTTGGTTAATTATGATGATGGAATATGAATTGTGTTGATTTACATATGATGCTACTTATGTCGAAAATGAGAATATAAATTATGAATGTGATGTGTTGTAAATGATGCATAGGATTTTGGAAACAGTTTGTGAAAATCTATATATATTATGAATGTAAATTGGATGAGCTGAACTCTCACTGTCCAGATATATTGTTTGATCATGACAATTATCCGTAAGTGTGTTTCAAAATGTATTTGAATCAGTATGTGAAAATTGTGCATCATTAACAACCACTCGTGGTGAATTGGATTAATTGATTATTGTTTTTAATAGGACCTTTGGATATGAAAGGCATGCCTAGAAAATAGAACTCTATGTGTTTTGTATTAGTGTGTAATTCAGGATTACATAGGGTTCGGATGGTATATTGAGCTTTGCTCCGAGAAGATACGGGGTAAGGTTGGGTATTAAGTTTGCTATGTAATTCGTGGTTTTGGACCTATGTGAATATGTAAGCAAAATGGGAGTTATATGGAGTCCTTTTATCCAATGAGTGAGTTGTGTTTCAAACAAAAGCCACTAATCTTAAAATAGAAAAAATGTGTATGATTTGTTTGACTTGCAAGAAGGTAATTGTGCATGCGTGCTTGTGAATGCTTTTGAACTATATGGTCCTTGATATTTTTAACCTAAAATCAAGTGATTTGGAATATGTTAGCTGATCATTCAAGCATGAGATGTTGAATTATACGTGTAGAGTAAAGAACAAGTTATGTATGAGCATATATGTTTGATCTTTATCTTGGTTATGAGCATTGCTTTGAATGTTAGTCGTTCATTGGGCTTTATAAGCTCATACTCATTGTTAACAATTTTCAGAGGATCATACTCGAGTTTGGAGGCGATGAGCTTGGCATCAGTGTGATCAAGCAAGGATAAGGCGTAAAGTAATACGTATGTGGTTTTTGGAAACTTTGTGTGATAATTTGGGGACGTTTGGGACATAGACCTATTATTCACTTTGTTGGACTTATAATGTTGGATTTTGGTTTGTAATAAGTGGATTTACGTTTGGGATTTGATGTTGGTTTGATTCGTTGACTTTGGATTTGTAAGTATGAACTTGTTGCTTCAAGCATGAGATTACTCAAATGTTGTTTTAGACCCTAAAGAAGTGTTTAGTTAAGTGTAACATGGTAAATTAAACGTGTTAGACTCTTAGGTTGCATGAAACGACCTTAAATGCCAAAAATGAGGAGATGACTTATGCTTGAAATGAACTTTTATGCAATTGTTGACCTCTGGTGCCAAATCCTTATTTAATGTGTTGACTTGTGTTATAAAGCATGATACACCTTTGTTTTTACATGTATAAAATGGTTGAATAGTGTCCAAGCATGTTCCTAGTCCATGATCACTTTTATGTGGTATTTTGGTAAGTCAAATATGCAAGTTCTTGATAAATCTACAGTTTTCTAGAAAAATGATCGATCCCTTAGGGAAAAGGATCGATCCCTTTCAAAAAAGATTAATCCCTTGATCAGAAAGGATCGATCCCAACGTTTTAATTTTTCAAAGGATCAATCCCCTTTAAAAAGGATTGATCCCTTTCAAGAAAGGATCGATCCCTTCATTGTTTTGCTTGACAGAAAAAGGTGAAATTGCATTCATTAAAGGTCTGAAGTGTTCTTAAATTCTAATTTTACCCCTAAATAATTATGTGAGTTCAATTTAGCCCAGAAATTTATATATTTAATTACTTAAACTCTTAATTTGGAAATTTGATGAGATTTGAGTGATCACTTGTTAAACACACTTAATTACATATAGAACCCTCAATTGTGTGTCACTGTTTGGTACATAAGTTTTACATATTTATATTTAGGTCCCTAATCTTGTATGATCAATTGAGTGATTGTGTGATGTTCATTTGGTATGAAGTTTTGTGTGCTGCTTTGTTATGACAATGTTTAACATGTGGTAACCTTAATTGGATGATTTGACTTGTTGATTTATTACATGATGTGAAATGACCAAAATACCCTAAACGTTCAAATGTAATGTTTACATGTTTAATTGAGATTCAATTGCATGTTAGTTACATTGAACGTTGTGTGTGATGAATATTAAGAGAGTTTAATTTGTTTTCTTCCGTGAAATATACGTAATATGGATCTTGATCTGTCTAACATGATTGGAACCTAATGTAAGCTTAGGTATCCGACTCGGACTCCTAGATCGGGTATGTGGCGTTACATTCTCCAACTTCTTTCACTAATATAACATGTAAAATGAGTTACTAACTTGTTTATGAGACTAAAATGAAGCCATGAATACTTTCTTAAACTCAAATCCACTAAAAACGAGCTATAATGTTTCCTAAATACCCATTAATCCCCTATCTATGGTTATTGTGACCAAACTTTGAGATTAAGAGCTTGAATGAAAGCTTGAGGTGAGGGAATTATTGTTCTTACCTTAGAATATCTAAAATATGCTTGAGAGTTTACAAGCTTTCACCTTTGCACAAAGTTTGGAAGAGGAAAAATTATGAGAATGGTGAAGATGAAGGTAGTGGACAAATAAGGTTAGAAATGGGGGAAAATAGGAGTGAGTAAGCAATACTACATCACCCCATTAAAACAAATCAACTTATGTATAAAAGAGGGTATACATTCCCTTTTGGTCATTCCTCTTACACTCAACTATTAAAATGCCCCCTCTTTCTAACAATTGGGCCTAAGCCAAGCCCAAGTTCATCCTTAACTTGGTCCAAGTTTCACATGGATCTAATGGGCTTGTCTAAAATAATCTCAGGTTAGCCCAAAACTATTAACCCGAGATTCGGAGCGTTACGCTACAAGCACAACTACTTGATCAAGACCCCAATGAAAAAACTTTATTCTTATTAAACATATTGAGATATTATTAACTTCTATAAATTAAATAGAATGAATTAAATATGAAGATAAAATGGATCAATGTAATACAAATATTCTTCTATTTGTCTTGTATTAATAACTAATAAAAGTAATAAATAATTCAACAATGTCTAGAGCGCATAAAAATTCTCAATTCTCTATATGTAAGAATTTCGTTCCAAATAAATATTAAATTCGAAACCTTAAGAAAAAAAAGATGTCAACTGAAAACTTTTAACATGATAATCTAAAAATTATTGATATACATATTTTTTTTATTAAATATATGCATTATTTTTAAATTTACAAACAAGATTAAAAAATTATTGATTTAAAAAAGTATTATGTCAGTGAAAAATATAAAAGAATTTCATTGAATCTTATGCATATACAAACACAAAAACATAAATCAATTATATTATATACAAAAAATTTTGAATTTAAATATAATATAATTTCAATCATAAAATTTAACATTCTTATACTCATATTATATTATAAGAACGTTAGTATTTAAATCAATGTCACTTATACATACATGATCCATTATCAAATATATGTTAACATCCATGATACTTTTACTCTTTCCTTGCCGAGTGACCTTCCTTGGGGCCTTATGACGTAAGGGAAAACCTCAGCCGATAATAGGTGAAATTTTTTCACCATTAACACGTAATTGGCACAATAATTTAGATTCGACTTTGGAAAGTCAATGAGCACAAGCTTTAATTTCTTTAAACTACGGTTTTATGTAACATATATACGTATTTTCTATATGTTGATAGTTAACATTGAAATTTTTATTATTATTTTTTAAATAATAATATTATAAAAATTAATTCCAATCATCTCTATTAATTCATCTAATGATTATAGTTTTATAAAAGAACTAATTAATTTTATGCAAAATAAACCGATCCAAAACTATTGGGGTATGCTCTGTTTTAGACGCGGAGTTTTAGGGTATATTGGAAGGCTTTAAGTTATTTTCAGAAACAGCCGGCTGACGTCACTACAGAAAAAATGGTTTCTAGCGGCTGATGTAATGGCGTTTTTGAAAAAAAAAACACCGTTAAAATCTACATCTGTACTAGCGTTTTATTAAAACGCCGCTATAAACGCATATGTTAGAGGCGTTTTAGAACAAACACTGCTATATAATGACAAAAGGTAGCGTTTTTTGTAAAACGCCGCTATAAACTTATGCAATAGTGGTGTTTTTAATTAAAACACCGCAAAATCACGTACATTAGTGGCGTTTTTCGTGTAAACGCCGCGAAAGTACAATTATATCTCCCCTTTCTCCTGCCGGATCCCTAATTCATTTTCCCTCTTCTTCCCTATCTTCCCTCTTCTCTGGTACAACATCTTCTCCGCCACACGCCATCCTTTTTGCCGTCAATCTTCTCGATCCTGCCTCCAATCTATTTCACTCACTCTATCTAGTTCGAAAGATAACTTCTCAATCCAATTTGCTATACACGGACTGTATGCTCTGCAAGCTCCTCTTTTTGGGGTTAGTTTAAGTGTGCATGTGATGTTATAAATTGTTTCTTCCTAATTTCGTATACCAAATATTTGAACGACAAAACCTAAAAGCTAATCGACTTGTAGAATTGAAAATTACCGGCCAAAGAAGTCAAAAATGTATATAATTCGTAGAAGATTCTGTTGAACATAATAAGGCTAAGCTACCTCGGAATTATTTATATAATGCAAGTAGGTTTTTTGAAGGGTCACTGTCTGCAGACTGCAAGCCCAAGATTCATTCCGTATGCAAACATCCACAAATATTTTATAGCTTTATGATGTCTGCACTGTCTTCGTCTTCTTTGTTTTCTCCCTGTTTGTCATCATTTCAAAAGTGTTCCACTTAATCATACCATATAATTAAAAACTCATTTCAAAGGCAAATCTTGGTTTCACAAAGCTTGGGGGTGACGATGATGTTTTCGACCTATTGGTTGTTATATTTTCTTTCCAGAAACTTTTAAGCTGTCAGTTTTCCGTTTTATCAATTTTTTGTATGTAAAATTTTTTCTCCAAAAGTTAGATTCACCAAGAAGTTCTCACCAAGTGAAAGAAATGGAACTATCACTGCAGAAAATGGAAGAAGATCTGAAAGAAGCATGCCGTTAAAAGGATAAGGCTTTGCAAGAATTGACTCGTCGCCTTAAGCAACATTTGTTAGAAAAGGTTACATGTCCCTCTTGACTCATTAATATTACCATTACAATCACTTAGTAGTCTTTCATGCAACTGTAATTGTGTAGCTACCGTTTGCAAATATAACAAAAGATATTGCTCTACCTTGATATCATAATCTGACCCACTCCTTGAGTGGAAAGAATAGAAGAATTCTGACATCCGTTTTAATAAAGAACTGCAGTCTTGTTTTTGTAGCTTCTACTTATATTTTATTATGGATTTATGTGGATGAGGATGATGGCAACATGTCCCTGCGTGGAAAAAAAGCTATAGTAATGTATCTAACTTTAAGCTTTCATTAGGATCAACTTCAACTTTCTGTTTCTCTTACTACATTTTTATTGAGGATCCTGTATGTTTTAAAGTAATTTCTTATGACTTGTGTCATCAAAATTAAATATGGTTTCTCTTGCTGTAATATTTTCTAGGAATCTGAAGAATCGGAAAAAATGGATGAAGATAGTAAAATTATTGAAGAACTTCGTGAGAGGAATGAATATCAGAGAGCTCAGATTGCACACTTGGAGAAAGCCTTGAAGCGGGCAATGGCAGATCAGGAGGAAGTTAAGATAACAAACAACAACGAAATTCAGAAGTCTAAGGAAATCATAGATGATCTGAATAAGAAAGTTGCAAACTTTATAAGAATAATAGATGTAAAAAATGCTGAACTGCTAAATCTTCAAACTGCTCTTGGTCAGTACTATGCTGAAATTGAATCTAAGGTAAGTAAATCTTTTGTATTGTGTATGGTAAAACTCTAGTTGTGGCATAAGTAAAAGTTGGATTCAATGCTTACATTGTTCTGTTATAGGAATATTTAGAGCTAGATCTGGCTCTAGCAAGAGAAGCAACAGCTAGAATTTCTGGTATTCTGAAGGTATTGTCTCCCAACCTTCCCTCTTAATTGCTTCTCCGCATCAGTAAATTTAGTCGGAAATGGGATTTATGATTATGAGTTTAATTCTATTTTCTATATCAGATATTTTCTGTTTAGCTACTTTAAAGTTCCTTTTATGAGTTGGAATGTGGAAAAGCATATCTCTTGAGGTCAAGAGCCTTTTTCTTGCTTTTCCTTTTTGATAATCTCTGCATTCTCCAGGATGCAGACGAACATGCAGAATTATCAAAGAGGGAAAATGAAGAAATTCTGGTGAAGCGTTCACAAAATGAAAGAGTGTTAGCAGAAGGAAAAGCAAGAATAAACAAGCTTGAGGAAGATAATGGAAAACTAAGGCGTACTTTTGAGCTTAGCATGACAAGGCTTAACAGAATGCAGACGTGGCGTATTTGCTCTGACGACCGATCAAATTATTGTTGGGAGGCTTTCAGTCCATTCTTACCATCGAAACCCGATGATGACCCGAAAGGAACTCTTATTGCTCCATACCCTTCCATGGCCGATCTCCTACTTCAAGGTAATAATCTCTGAATATTTTCGCCGCTATATTTTTATTTTGTACTCGTAAATTTCATAGATCGTACACAGGATGTTTGAAGCTTATTGAGAACGATGATAGAGGAGTGGAAAAATACCCGATGTTTAGAATCGGATTGGGGAAATCTATGGCGTTGAAAGAATCTTCAATTGCAAAAGCATTATCTATCCTCGATGAAGACGACGCTGGCTCTACTGTTACTCCAAGTAAACGCTTCTCTCTTTTACTTTAATTGTTTTGTTTAATGTTTGATTCAGTTCCCAAGCCACCTCCAATCAAGTTTCATATTGTAGGTGGAAGGTCGTTATCTGTTTCAAGTGAAGCACTGAAGCGCGCAAGGAGTCTTCTTGGTGAACCGAAGCTAGGGGATTTATTTGGTGAAATAGATGAAGAGTTTCTCCATATATAGTTTACACGAAGTAAAAACTTAACGATGCTTCATCAAACAAGGAAAACTGTTTTTTTTTTTACTTCCTTTTCCCACGAAGGAGCAATGAAGACTAATTCTAGTGAACAATATTTTTTTAATTGAAAGTGAAAGAACTTAGACTAAATTCTAGAGAACAATGTTAAACTACATTACATTTAATTTTAATGTTTATAAATTTTAATTTATTTTGTTGTTAAGTATTTTTCTGCATAACTTGTGTCATAATTAAAATGTATGGTTGTTGTTAATTAGATAAAGCTAGATGATATTAAATTTAGTTGATGTATGGTCGTTATCTGTTTCAAGTGAAGCCCTGAAGCGCGCAAGGAGTCTTCTTGGTGAACCGGAGCTAGGGGATTTATTTGGTGAAATGGATGAAGAGCTTCTCCATATACAGTTTACATGGAGGAAAAACATAATGAAGCTTCATCAAACAAGGAAAACTGTTGTTTACTTCCTTTCCCCACGAAGGAGCAATGAAGACTAAATTCTAGTGAACAATATTTTTTTAATTGAAAGTGAAAGAACCTAAACTAAATTCTAGAGAACAATGTCAAACTACATTACATTTAATTTTAATGTTTATATATTTTAATTTATTTTGTTGTTAAGTATTTTTCTGCATAACTTGTGTCATAATTAAAATGTATGGTTGCTGTTAATTAGATAAAACTAGATGATATTAAATTTAGGTGATGTAGAGCATAAATGAAATATGCAAAATCATCTTAGCTAAAGAAAGGTAATCAGCAGCGTTTGTATCCAAAAACGCCGCTATACACTAATAGAAAAAACCCCTTTAATGACGCGCATTGCGCGTCATCTATGGGTGCGGATGACACACATTTGCCTGTCGTTGAAGCCACCGACATGAATTTAAGATGACGTGCAACTATGCGTCATAAATTTATGACGCTCATTGCGCGTCATTGAAACCCCCGTCATAAATGAAGACGACACACATTTGTGTGTCATAAATTTATGACACGCATTTATAACTTACATTGTGTGTCATTGAAGCACACGTCATTAGAAAAGATGACACATATTCGTGTGTTGTGATTGTATTTCGTAAATTATATATATATATATATATTGTAGATTGACAAATAATCAAACTAAATCACATTTAATGCCTCATAATACTAAATATATATATCATATTATATATAAGCAATCCATTTACATAAAATATATTAACATTAAGTTATCAAAAATATTGTAATCATATGTCGATACAAAATATCACGGCATAATAAAGTTTTCCACATAAGATACCCATTCTTTGCGAATATCAAACATGTCGACGTTGCGGGAGATGCAACTCCTCTAGCTTCTTCTGCAATTTTGAAGTTTCTTCTTCAGAGTCGAGAACTCTTGAAACAGGCTGCAAATGAGCATTGGCTTCAACTGAACTAGCAGGAACATCAGATGCACCAGCTGTTCCCGAACCCTTCCCAAAATTAGAGTTGATCACCTTTGGTTTCCACTCCTTATTTGAACCAACTGCTGATGACATATAGGAATTAATACTTTGCATATATTAATCAAGCATCAACTATCTTCAGGTGAGAAAATAAAGTAGTCCAAACATTTGTAAAGAGCAAACATTTTCATTTATGGTTATCAAGTCATCACTCATCACTAAGTAATATGAAAAGAACGAAAAATCAAGTAAATTTGTGGTAAAGGTATCTTAAGCTTTAAAAGCTTTACTTTTCATTTCTCACAGTTACACTGTTATTTAAGGGGATACTTCTATTTACATATGGGTAATTCACCCATCCTTCTCGGTTATAATGATGATTTTTATTCAAACTTGCAACAAACGTGCTACTGAATTATATTTTGCTCAGAGGAAAAGGTGATTGATATCCATTTACCAAAATTAGTTATAGATTCCAATGATTATAAGGAGTAACATAGTGGGTCTAAACTATGAACATCCTTAATCAATCAAACAAAGGAGGGCATTCAACTAAACTTTCTTGGTCTAAGTGAATTTAGATAAATCTCATCTCTAACAAATAACACACATATCTTGATAACTTAAGCATCCATGTATAGTCCAACAAAAAGCCAAAAATCAACTTTTTTTAAATATCAACATTCACATAGACTGCAATAACTTTCATTATATCATTATGGGATAGGAGATTATCGAGTGCAAGCTAAACATGCATCATAAATCTTCACGGACAGCTAAAGATTCTGGAACCAATTAACTATTTTTTAAAACTGATATCCACTTCATTGATGAGGCCAAGTTGGACTATGTAGCTCCAAACTATCCATCTCAACCCCATTATAAGTCACAAAGAGAAAACATTGAACAAATATCAAGGAATGAACACCCTTTTAAAAAATATATATGTTCCAATAAAGAAACAAAGGCAATAGATGCATGCTTGCAGAGAAGTAACACAGCTAAGGAAAAGGAATAAACTTAAAGGGATATTAACATATACCTTCGGATGACTCTGGTCTATATCTAGCTGTTTTGTATTTCTGCAGTGAAGAGATTGGTTAAAGGGTAATCAAATCCAAGCCTTTGTGTACACATTTAATATATATATATAAATTAATAACTAATAGAAAAGTCTATGCACCTGCAAATTACTTTTAACATGATAAATTATCAAGCCTTCAACTTTCATAAGCTTCAACACGCCCTTTGGAGTAGCTCCTGTAAGTTGAAAATACCAAACAAATTAAAACATAACATATTTTGGAAAAAGTTTCATGAGAAATGAAATTAATGCACTTTCACTGCCTCCCAATTGGTTGACAGCTTCAACAAAGGCTTAATGAAGTTCTGGTGTCCACCGCATTCGTGATTTTGCTGGGGCGTCCACTAACGCTGTAACTAATATTAAGGCTCATCATAACAGTTGCACTTGCAGCAGCAGAGACAATACAAAGACAAGACAATAGGAAACCTTATTATCATCACAATACACATAATATCCATTTGCATTCTCTTTATCCCAAGCCAGCTAAGTCTCATATTAAGCAAGAATCTAAGTGATTTAAAACCAAACAATATGAGAAAGGATATATGGACCGCCAAATGGGTGCATTGAGGATCTAAATTAGTACTGTATTGACCACCTAATCTCTCCGTTGCCTCCACGACTTGTCTCCTTACTTCTGCAAACAAAAGAGAAACATCGACATGTAATGGAAAAACATGATGAGTTCAATAAAAAATCAAAGTACCCAGACTCGAAATCATTCGAGTTTTTATCAAACTCATATAGTAGTACACTGTAAGAAGTACCCCAAAACAATCAAACCAGAAATAACCAACCTTTAGATAAGCCAGCGACGCAAATAACCAAACCAAAAAACGGACCGGGGGATCGAACCGTTAAAGGTTCAGAAGAAAGAGAGGTAGGGGCAGGGGACATTGGTTCAAGGAAACATTCAGAAAGATCAAATTTTCAAGGAAACAAACATAAGTACAAAAATGAACAAAAATCAATCCAGATATAAATAACCTACGGCACAAAGCTTTTTAGTTAGCTTAACGGCGGCCTTTAAATTTTCTAAAGTTTCCTGATGACACTTCGGATCATGCCACGAGAAATCGAACCTAGCCACTGAAGAAAAACAAAAACAAACGAATAAATAAATATTGCTTCCAATAACACAATAGTAACTAAAAAGAAGTGAGTCCGAAAATACAATACCAGCTGTCGTAACCGGTTTTCGTCCGGGCACGAATTTATTTGTTTGGCGGGAAAAGTGATGTGAATAAATGGTTTTGAAAATAATTTGGGAGTCGCCATCGGCCTTTTGGGTCAGGTAGGTCGAATACCTAAAAAATATCTTTTAAAAGAGTTTTTAAGAAAACATCAATTAAAAGATAAACTGATCTGCGTTTTAACCAAAAATTCGTTCTTTTTAATAATAAAAAGGGATTCGTGGTCGGTTACGTTTAGGGAAGGATTAGAACCCCTACAACGCCCAAAATTGGTACTTTTTAATTATAAATTGTCTCTATTATTAAAATTTTAAAAATTCAAAAATATATTTAATTTATAATCCTATTATTTCAAAATTATATAAAAAATATTTATTTATTTAAAAATATCAGAAAAGAACTTCTAGGTGCCTTAAGACAACTCTTTTCTTTGATATTGATAAATATTAATTTAAATAATATTGTTTAATTTTAAAATACCAGAATAGGACATCCAGTTGTATTAAGACTGTCCTTTTCTTCGATATTAAAAATAAATATAAAAATTTAATTACTATTATATATATATTTATGAATACATAAAATATTTAAAAATATAAACAAGTAAAATTAAAACAATAAAAATACAACTAGAATGATATATTTAAAATAAATGAAAACATTTAAAATAAATGACTAAATTATAGTAAAAATAAATTAAAAAACCTAATTCATAATAAATCAAAATATTAGGGATTAAACATGCTATTTCTTTATTTTATTTATTTAGTGACTAAAATAAAATTATCTAAATTCGGATATATATAAAAATAAATTAAAATATAAACTAGGAATTAAATATTATTTATTAAAATTAAGGGATTAATTCTGTATTTATCCTAGATATATTATTTAATAAAAAGGACTAAAATAAATAAAATTGAAATTCGAAAACTGAATTACAACGTTCAGAAGTTAATTTCAGTGACTAAAATGAATAATTACAAAACTCGGATGGCTGCGGAAAGGGTTTGACCTTAATGGAAATTACAGAAATACCCTCCCCAAAACGACGTCGTTTGGGAGAGGGTATTTATTCCCTAAGCCGGCTGGCCCTACGGGCCAGTTTTTTTCTTCAATTCTGTTCTCTCTCTAACAGAGAGAGAACAAAAATGTTCTCTGCCTTCTCTCTAGCTTCCCTCACCGGAGGGAAGCCGGTCACCGGACGGCAATCGTTTGCCGCCGTGACCATCATCGCCGGCCACCGCATCTGGTGGCCGGAAAATTTTATTTTTCCACCATTAAATAGATCGGACTGTCCTAAGGACGGTCCCGGTGTTCTTTTCTTCTAAATGGCTCCTAATCGGAGCGAATCTAAAGAATTACCTTCGGTTTTTCGAAGGTTTGGTGAGATCCGGTGGTCGGCTTCCTCGGTAAGGTTCTCTTCTCCTTTTTCTTTTCTGTTTCTTTGCTGCGTTTGTTGTTGAGATCGTTGGTAGTATTTTATATTTTTTTTTCGGTTTGTCTCTCTGGGATCTGTTCTCTTTTCTTTTTTTTTTTCTGTCTCTGTGTCTCTCTGTCTTCTTCTTTTTCAGGTTGGGGTGGTGGCTTTTATAGCCACCACCGGTGTGGCCGTCGGACCGGTCCGAAGATGGGGTCTCGGTGAGTCACCGGACTACCAGTGGTGACTCACGAGTAGCCAATAGCGTGGACGGCTAGTATTCTATCTTCTGGAGTCTTCGGTTGGGACGTGGCAACGGCGGAGGCGGCGAGATAGCAACGGCGGCGCGTGTCCCTAGGGTATCAGACCCTAGGGTTTCCATCTGGGGCAATCTGGACCGTTGGATTGCCAGATCCAACGGCTGTGAGATGAGGCGGCTGGTTAAATTAGGGTTAGGAAACCCTAACTGGAAACCCAAAATTTAGGGTTTCTGGTTGGATCTGGACGGTTCTGGTTGGTTTGTAACTGGGCCGGTCCAGTTGTAATTGGTCTGTAATTATTATTATGTATTTAATATATTTAATAATAATAATAATAATAATGATAATAATAATAATAATAATAATAATAATAATAATAATAATAATAATAATATTATAATAATAATATGGATAAAAAAATTAGTATCTTCAGCTGCCCTCTTTGCACATTCTTGTGTTAACAAGAATAGGGCAAAGATGAAAAGATAATAAAATTTTTATCCATTTGACTTTACTTTGATCATAATGGAGATATTGAATAAATTCTTCTCTCTCCAGATAAGTTCTTCTTATTATGAACTTTCTGCTGGGGATGATGATGACCTCCTTTCTGTGATAGAGTCATTCAAAAGGTTGAATAAGCTCTTGATGAGTTCTTCTCATTATGAACTTTCTCTAGAAAGGTTGATGCTAATCTATCTCCTTCTGTGATAGAATTATGCAAAAAGTTGAACAAGTTCTTCTTATTATGAACTTCTTCTTCTTCAGATGAGTTCTCATTATGAACTTTCTCTGGAAAGGCTGATCCATCAAATGATGGACTCAGGTAAAAGGTTGAACAAATTCTTCTCATTATGAATTTCTTCTTCCTTCTTCAGATGAGTTCTTCTCATTATGAACTTTCTCTGGAAAAGATAATCCATCAATTGATGAATTCAGGTAAAAGGTTGAACAAATTCTTCTCATTATGAACTTCTTCTTCTTCAGATGAGTTCTTCTCATTATGAACTTTCTGGAAAGGCTGATCCATCAAATGATGGACTCAGGTAAAAGGTTGAACAAATTCTTCATTATGAACTTCTTCTTCCTTCTTCAGATGAGTTCTTCTCATTATGAACCTTCTCTGGAAAAGTTAATCCATCAAGTGATGAATTCAAACAAAAGGTTGAACAAATTCTTCTCATTATGAATTTCTTCTTCCTTCTTCAGATGAGTTCTTCTCATTATGAACTTTCTCTGGAAAAGATAATCCATCAAGTGATAGATTTAAGCAAAATGGTGAACAAATTCTTCTCATTATGAACTTCTTCTTCCTCTTCAGATGAGTTCTTCTCATTATGAACTCGAACTGGAAAAATTGATCCATTGAATAATGGATTTAAATCTTCGCTAAAATCTTTGAAATTCCTGTCAGAATTCAACATGGATGAGAATGAATGAAAATGCACCTATTTTTGCAAATGCCTAAATGATGAATGTTGTTAAGTTATTTGATTTCAGATTGGTGAACTGAATATTTCTTCAGTTGTAGAACCCAATAAATCTTTCTTCTTCAAATCAGAGAATCTATTCTCTTTGACAAATGTAGAGGTAGATATAATGTCACAAAACCTCTTGAGAATAAAACTCAATGGTATCGGCTCTTGAAAAGCTTGCCTTCATGTGATATGTTGATTCTGATAACAACTCATCTGATTATGAAATGACCTTTCAAGATGATTTCAGATATCGATAGTTCTTCTAATACAGAGAAATCTTGAATTCTGATTCTGATGAGGAGAATAAACTGTTATACTTGACAAAAATGGGATTCTCAGATGCTGAAACTTCAAATAGCCCTGGGTTATGATTTTTGGGAAAGGAATAAGCAAAAGAAGCTTGAAAAGAAACTTCTTAATGAAGACGATCATGCAGTTCATCTTTTAATTCCAATGATTGGTTCTGTAATTTTTACCAAACCAGATCAAATAACTCAAAGAATAATTCCAGAAGATGCTATTGAGCACATTCATCTTCTAAATTCAATGATGGTTTACCAAACCAAATCAGATAATTCAAAGAACACTTCCAGAAGATGCTATTGAGCACATTCATCTTCTAAATTCAATGATTGGTTCCGTCCAACCAGATCAGATAACTCAAAGAATACTTCAAGAAGATGCTATTGAGCACATTCATCTTCTAAATTCAATGATTGGTTCCGCCAAATCAGATCAGATAACTCAAAGAACACTTCCAGAAGATGCTATTGAGCAAATTCATCTTCCAAATTCAATGATTGGTTCTACCAAATCAGATCAGATAACTCAAAGAATACTTCCAGAAGATGCTATTGAGCACATTCATCTTCTAAATTCAATGATTGGTTCTGCTAAATCAGAACACTTATTTGATGTAGAGCCAGAATTTGTAGATTCGAAGTATTTCCATGCTACTACACTGAAAAGGGCTATATTCATAATTCTGCCAATTAAGAATAGATTTTCTCTTATTCTGCTTTCTCCATGTGCTGATGCTTTTCCATTGACAAAGAAATGATGGCTTTCATGGGATCCAAGAACAAAGTTGAACTGTTTATAATCATGTACATGAAGTGCCAAATTGACAGAAATGATCTGTAAGGCTTTTGAAGCTTATGACAATGAGCCACCTTCGAGTGTCCAGAAGTATGTTCTTGATGAGTGCTGAAAATGGAATCTAGTATGGTTGGAAGGAATAAGTTACTCTCCACTTGAACCTGGTGAGGTGGAAATGCTTCTATTTTCCTTAAAAAACCATACACAAGGATCTGTATAGAGACATATTTCCCAGTGATATCAATGTCTGTTTCCTTTTGTTGGAATCAATGCTACAAAGATCGCCTTCTACTGTCTTAGTATATCTTTGAAAACAGATGTGCAAGAACTGAATGGTGATCGGTTGAAGCAATTGATGAGTAGATTTGTCGATTCGCCCTTGTTGTCGGTTATATTACATAACCTTATGTGTTTAAGATGTGATGATTTGCTTACTTTGTATTCCATGTATTAAAGTATTAACATAAAGTGATATTCAGAAATCTTTAAATTATTTCAAAATTATGTTAATCAAATAGAAAAGAATAAATTGAATTTTCAAAAATAAATTGACTCTCAAATAAATTGAACTTGAAATAATAGAATTGTATTCAAATTTTGGCAAGCATAAGAATATAAAATTCAAATGTCTCAACAAATT